AGCGGGGGCGGCGGGGGCGGCCCCAGCCCGCGCTGCTGGAGAGGACAGTCGCTGGCCGCCGCCGCGCCGCTGTCCTTGCGGGGCCTTGCGCCATCCCCCCTCACCCCCACTCCCATTAACTGTCACTCCTCGAAATGAACTCACCTGCAGCGCTGTGCTCCGCGCGCGCCTGCCCGCCCCGATGCCATGAGGATGAGGCAACACACGCGCATCACAATCGATCCACATGATGCGGCGAGGAGGAGGCCGGATGGCACTCGCACAGCCCGACCTGGGCGCGCAGAAAAGAAAAGAGACTCCAGTGGCGAAATGAGCGGAAACAAGAAAAAGTGCGCTTAGACGATAAATAACAGACTGGTAACGGCGGCGCCGTTCCGCCGTGCAACGCAAGTCTGAGGAGCAGCTTATCGCGCAGATTAGCCTCGTAGAGCGTGGCGGTCGCGGGGCACCTCGGCCCGAGCCTCGGCCCTCGGCGGCCGGCCGCTGCTCCACCCGGCGCCACGCCCAGCGGAGTGCATTTGGCTTTACGGATTATGCGCCGGTGGTACATGGCGTACATAATGTACCCGAGAGAGTAAGTGTGTATACCTCTTGTGAGGCGGAGCGCCGCCGCCGCCGCGGCTGCGGCCGCTGGGCTCTCTGGCCGCTGGCCGACCGGCGTCAGCGTCGGTGATGCGCAGAGGATGGGTCGGCTCGGCATCGGCAGGAGGGAAGAAAGCAACACGTGCCTCTCCCCCGCCCTCCCTGGGACCCTTCCCTCCCCCCCACTAAAGTCAAGGCTACAATGGGGCCTGGCCTGCTGGCTGGTGCTTGGTGCTTGGTGCTAGCGGCCCCGCGGCCTGCCCGCCACCCGGCACACACACGCACTCCACCCTCAACTTGAAACGGCTCATGAGGGGCAAAGCTAAGAACCTCGGTCAGATCTGACCAAACGGCCAACGGAGAAACTTAGCGACATGGCAACTCTAAAGACAAGATTGGGAGTCGTGTACTACTTGTTGTAATGAAACTTTCTGTGGTCCTTCGTGACGCTATCCATTGTGATGACAAAAGCCTCTACCACGATCGGGCACTCGACTTTCGCAAACGTTTGGCCTAGAGAGAGTGTCACGCATCAGCCGTGAGCTGGAGCGATGCCATGGCAGATAGCTGCTTATTGGCGTATTAGTCCAAATGTTTTATTTTGCCTTTTTGTCGCCACGTGTGGCGAACCGAGTGCTCGTGCCCAGCAGCGGCCGCCTCACCTTGCGTGTTTGTTCTGTTGCAGCGTGACGATGGGGACGCGGGGGCCGGCGGCGGGGGCGGCGGTGACGTGGAGCAGGCGGGGGGCGGCGGCGACAGCCACGGCATCAAGCTGGGCTGGATCCAGGGGGTGTTCATCCCCTGCCTCCTCAACATCTGGGGGGTCATGCTCTTCCTGCGGTTGTCCTGGGTCGTGGCTCAGGCCGGCATCTTCCAGTCGCTGGTCATCATCGGCATCTCTACCGTGGTGTGCGTCCTCACGACCCTCTCGCTGTCCGCCATCTCGACCAACGGCGAGGTCAAAGGAGGTCAGTCCAAATCAGGCCTATCGCTATCGCGCGAGAACATCCACCAGTAGTTAGTCTAGGAGCGAATGTTAAAATTGGTTACAGTCAGGGGCCTGTAACCCAAAAATGCGGTTCAATCACTAACGCGTCATATTTGACAATATCTTCTTGACGAACTGAGTAATCTTGACTTACCCCGGCTCGTTTGATAGGTGTTGTGTAACCCACATTCATATGTTGGCAGACAGTTGACGACTGACAGATGACTGACAATGATGCCAACATATGAATGTGGGTTACACAACATATTAACCACACATGTTGTGTAACCCACATTCATATGTTGGCATCATTGTCAGTCATCTGTCAGTCGTCAACTGTCTGCCAATATAAACCCTGAACGTACTGTCAATGAGGTATTTTATTGGTATAAAGAAGATCAGGAAGAACAAGCCAGAACATAACAAGCCTTCAACTGTTTTTTGTAAAGAGACTGCTTTGCAATTGTTTTAGCAGACGATTTCCGAAAAACAATTGAAGGCTTGTTATGTTCTGGCTTGTTCTTCCTAGTCTTCTTTATACCAATAAAATACCTCATAAACCAGTTAGAGCTAAACCTGCGTCTTGACTCCAGCATCGCCCGAACCAGACCGGAACACGACAATAGGCCAGTTGCCAGTTGGTGCTTCAAAAATATATTGATATAGCATTTGCAAATAAAACTGCTCCTTAATGCCCAAAATGAGCACGTTACAGTTTTTGGTAGGATTTTCGGTACGTTACGTACAAAAAAAAACTGTAACGCTGATTGGACATACAATAAAGCCATAATGCAGTTTTGCTGGATTTGCTACCTGGAGCCAGAACATTTTTTTCTCAGTGCGGTAGACGCGGATAGACGTCAGCAGCACCAATCATGTGCAAAATGTGTCAGAAAAATGCGCTGTTAAAGACGCCCCGGTCCGGGTGGTGCATCAATGCTAGCCTGCCAGGAGAAATGCTTTCTGAGCAATGTGACTCATCGGGCGTGCTTTTATTTTGCACAGGAGGCATTTACTACATCATCTCACGGTCACTCGGCCCCGAGTTCGGGGCGTCGGTGGGAGTGGTGTTCGCCTTCGCCAACGCCGTGGCCGCCGCCATGAACACCATCGGCTTCTGCAGTTCGCTCAACGACCTGCTCAAGGAGAACGGCCTCCAGATTGTGGACGGCGGCAACAACGACATCCGGATCGTGGGCATCATCGCCATCCTGGTGATGGTCGTCATCTGCGCCGTCGGCATGGACTGGGAAACGAAGGTAAGCATCCGCGGCCAGGGGGGGGGGGGGAGGCGGAAAACCGCGTGGGTGGACGAGGCCGTCACCGGGGGCGGGCTGGGCTGAGCGCTGGGCGTTACTTTCATGGCAAAGGGTTCCGGGCCGCTCCCCTCGCCGCAGGGCTGGGCCGGCGCGGCCGGGCTCCACCCTGACGCCCCTCGCTCCTCCGCCAACCCTCCCCTCGCGGCCGGCCATATGTCTCGACTGACGCGGAATGGCGCTGTGTGACATCCGAACCTCCGGGGGTGCGACGCGCCAGGAGTAGCCTTGACCCCTTTTGGATGCTTTCCGAGAGTGTCGTTCGCTTGTGGGCCGTGTCATTTGCTGGGGAGCGGGAAGAGACCAGGGCCGTCCGAGTAAAGTACTCAGGTCCTGCTGTCATGACAGTCCGAGTAAAGTACTCAGGTCCTGCTGTCATGACAGTCCGAGTAAAGTACTCAGGTCCTGCGGTCATGACAGTCCGAGTTTTAAACGGACGTCATGCTGCTGTCATGACAGTCCGAGTTAAAGTACTTAGGGCCTGCCGTCATGACATCCGAGTAAGTACTCAGGTCCTGCGGTCATGACATTCCGAGTTTTAAACTACTCAGGTCCTGTGGTCATGACAGTCCGAGTTTAAAAGTACTCAGGTCCTGCTGTCATGACAGTCCGAGAAAGGTCCCACCCGCACTTGTGCGCTCCCGTGCTCACGCACAGCGCGGCCCGCCAGGCGCCAACAGGTCCCGGACCCTGCCCCCCCCCCCTCTCTTTCCCTCATGCGGACGCGTGCACCGCACGGTCAAGGACGGCCAGGGCAGCGCGGCCGACGTCACCGCGGGCATCAGCTCCCGGTCACCTCGTTCTTTACCCTCCTCAAAGCGCTCCACAGGGAGCGGTGCGGTGGCGGGGCGGGGGTCGTTGTCATCACCCGAAAAGCATTGTGGGAGAGACTTTGGGGTTACGGCTCGCTCGCCGGGGCGGATTATGTTGCGAGTCCATTTTGTGCGGCATCACGCAGGGCGCATGGCATGACAAAAGGGAGCGGTCGAGAGAAAAAAAATAAAAATAAAAAGGGATGATACGGCACTGGGCGTTTAAGCAAACACGGTTGCCCGGCGCCCTCTGGGTGTTGACGGCCGCAGCCGCGGGGGGCTTAATGACCGGCAGCACGCACGTGGAACCGCGCCGCGCCGCACCTCGCATCTTTTGTGAGCGTAATTAAAACTGATGAGTCCAGCATCAGCCACGGCGTCGCCCCGCCCCGCCCCGCCCGGGCGTCGCCGCTATGAGCTATGGCGTGTATTGATCTCGACGAGCGCGCGGACCGGGCCCGGACCCGCCGCTGTGCAGCGCCGCCGGCGGTTCATCATCCTGACAGCACTTAGGACACGACAGGGTGGCGTTAGTCCAGGTGGCCCGAGACCTGACCCCTTTCATCTACATCGCTCGTCCATTGTCAATGTCTTTGGCATCGTCCTAGTCCTCTCGCCCGCCCCCGCCCGTCCCCGCACGCCCGCCGGCCATGACGGTGGCGCCGGGGGAGGGGATGGAGGGGCCGGGGGCGTCACTACCGGCGCGACGGTGCGTCGTATACTCGGCCAACTGGAAGACCTTGTCATCGAACCGTCCCCGCAGGCCCTTGCCCCCTCTCCTCCGCTGGCCATGTACAATACAGTGGGCATGTCCACGCCGGCGCCGGACGCGTCGCGACTTTGGAGAGCGGCCAGGGTGGCTGACATCACGTGGCCCAGCCAGCGCCTCGCGGCTCGCGGCCCAGGGTCCTCCACGACACCTAGCCGAGCCGTGTCACACAGGTGGCCGAGCCGGGCCGAGCCGGGGCGGCCGCGCGGGGGCCGTGCCCGAGCGTGTCCATGCATACCTTACCTGCCGAGTGGCGAGTGGCGACGAATTAGTGCCAAACTAGTGCAAACTAGTTGGTTGACGGAATCCCTTCCTGACCCTGACTCTCGCGAGAGGCTGTTTCTCATTGCAGTCCCCCTCTTCTTTCAGGCCCAGAACTTCCTCATCGTCATCATTGTCGCCGCCATCGGCATCTTCGTGGTCGGCGCCTGCGTCGGGCCCACCACGGACTTGGAGCGGGCGCAGGGTTTCGTGGGGTTAAGCAGTGAGTTTAGTGGCGCTGGCGCATGGGCCTACTTGCAACGCCGTACTAATTTTTAATGCTGATAACCTCTTTATTTCGTCCACAGAAAAGGCGTTTTCGGAGAATTGGGGGCCCGACTATCACTTCAGCGAAGGCGTCACCCAATCCTTCTTCACAGTGTTCGCCATCTTCTTCCCGTCCGTGACGGGGATCCAGGCGGGCGCCAACATCTCCGGCGACCTCAAGGTGCGTTCCTGGCTCACGCCTCTCTTTGCCTCCTCCGCCACGGAGCCACACGACTGACCCCGGCGGCTATGTACCCTTTGCTCCAGGACCCGTCCAGCTCCATCCCCAAGGGCACCATGCTGTCCCTGCTCGTGTCCATGGCCTCGTACGTCCTCTTCGTGTTCATGGCCGGCGCCGTCGCGGTGCGGGACGCCAGCGGCAACGTCGCCGACCTGGTGGGCGGCTGGCCCAGCAGCGCGTGCCGCAACGACCAAAACAACACCCACTGCGATTATGGGCTCGGCAACAGCTACACGGTGCGTATGGGGATTCTTATGGGCGCTCTTTACCGTTTCCAGATGGGTCGATTTTATTGGGCGGATCCTCTGCCGCGCTGGCCATGCGCCGTGAGACGGCGATAGAGGCACTCCCTCTCGTGCAATATGTAGTCGTCAGTGTGTTATGGCTGCTCGAGCTAAAAATACCGGCCGTCGGGCGGGCCGTGCGGGAGCGTGCTCTAGCAGAGCCGTGCTGGACTGGACACGCCGGTCCAATTCGCACGGTCAGTTTATGGCGGCGAAAAAAAACAACAACATATTTTCAAACCAACTGAGGCATGGCATGTGTGTGCATGGTGTGTGTTTGCAGGCGATGCAGCTCATCTCGTACCAGAAGTACGTCATCTACGCGGGCTGCTTCGCGGCCACGCTCTCCACCGCGCTCACCAACCTGCTCTCCGTGCCGCGGCTCGTCCAGGCCCTCGGCCAGGACCGAATCTACCCGGGCCTCATCTACTTCAGCAAGGGCTACGGCAAGCACGGCGAGCCCTACCGCGGCTACGTCCTCACGTTCTTCATCTCCGTCGTCTTTCTGCTCATCGGTAGGTTCCGTGGCTGGGGTGCTCCCCTGGTGTCGTTCCCTGGAGTCGCTCACCGCCGTCTCTCTTGTTTTCACTCCTCTAGCCGACCTGAACCTGATCGCACCGCTGATCTCCAACTTCTACCTGGCGTCGTACGCACTCATCAACTTCTGCACGTTCCACGCGGCGCTCATCAAGCCCCTCGGATGGAGGCCCACCTTCAGGGTAAGGTGCTTGACGACGGCTTGGACCAAGTCGGGACGAATAAATACCAGCAGCCACATAGACGTGTATGGCTGTGTGCGCTTGCCGGTCCCAGCTAGAGGGTGCCCAGTAAACTTGTCCCCTTTTCTGCAGTACTACAACCTGTGGCTGAGCTTGATCGGCTTCTTCCTCTGCATCGCCATCATGTTCCTCATCGACTGGATAGCCTCCGTAATCACCATCGTCGTCATCTTCGCTCTGTACCTCATCGTCGTCTACCGCAAACCTGGTACGGGACGGGACAGAACGAATTGACAGATAATTGTTGCCACGTCCTCTACGTGTCCTCTAAACGTTATGAACTGGAGTCACAAAATGCCCATTTCTTTTTGTGTCACAGACGTCAACTGGGGATCATCGACACAGGCGCAGACGTATAAGACGGCCCTGAACACGGTCCACAGACTGGCCCACATCGGAGAGCACGTCAAGAACTACAGGCCGCAGGTGCTGGCGCTGTGCGGCTCGCCCAGGTCACGCCCGGCGCTCGTCGACTTCGCCAATCTCATCACCAAAAACAACTCTCTCCTAGTGTGCGGCGAGATCGCAAGTGTAAGCGCAATCCCAAAACGCCCTTGTTAGGCAATGCCCTGACTCAAGGACGCGTTTTTCTGGGTGCTCTTTATAATCCTCCCCTTCCGAGATGTTGACGAGCTCGTCTTGGCGCAGGCCCCGCTGCCGCACCGCTCGCGCCTGGAGCACGCCCACAACGCCAACCTGTGGCTGCGCTCGCGCAAGATCAAGGCCTTCTACTCGCTGGTGGACGGGCTGCGCTTCGAGGAGGGCGCCAAGGCGCTGCTGCAGACGTGCGGCATCGGCAAGCTGAAGCCCAACGTGCTGCTCATGGGCTTCAAGTCCGACTGGAAGACGGCGAGCAGCACCGACCTCATCGCATACTTTAACGTGCTACAGTGAGTGCTCGAGGTGGACACTCGTGGCCCCCGTCGTTCGAAAGGTTACGCATGTTGAACGCGCGCCTGTCTTGTCCTCCAGCGACGCCTTCGACAACCGTGTGGCGGTCGGCATCCTGCGCCTGGAGGACGGCCTGGACTACTCGCGGCTCCTGGACAGCGAGCACATGAACGGCACGTCCCTGGCCGACATGCAGTCCACGCTCACGCTGTCGGTGCAGAACCTGGGCATGCTGCACGCTGCCGACTCCAACCTCAACATCTCGTCGCTGCCGGGCGCGCGCTCCGAGGCGTCGCTCGCCGGACTGCAGGTCAATGGTGAGTCACCGCGAGGTCGGAGGTCATGGGAGGTCACCCGCGGGTCACCTCGTACACTGACGGGTTTCCTCTTTCCTACAGGTTCGTCCGTTTTCCCGGCCGACAGCCCGTCCGCGCCCAAGCGCAACGCCAACAGCCCGCTGCACAGCATCCTCAAGATGAAGAAGAAGGCCGCCTCGCAGCAGGTGCTCAACACGGCTGCTGCCAACGCTGCCGCGACCGTGCCGATGAACGACCTGGCCAAGATGACCCTGTTCGACCGTAGACAAAAGAAGGGCTCCATCGACGTGTGGTGGTTGTACGACGACGGAGGTAAGGGCGCGTTTACTAAGCTTGGGGCGGAGCTGAGCGCTGAGCGGCCTGGTTGGTAGGCAAACCCACCCGGCAGCCCTGTGTGACAGGCCAGCCTATCGACACCGCCGCCTGGCAGCGGGTGGGTAGGCAGACCCGCCGAGCAGCCCTGTGTGACAGGCCCGACCGCCCGGCCTACACCCGCTAACACCGAAACATACACCTGCTTGACTTTTGACTTGTCGCTGCAGGCCTGACCATGCTGTTGCCGTACATCATCAGCACGAGGACGACGTGGGCCAACTGCAAGCTGCGCGTGTTCGCGCTCACCAACAAGAAGCACGACATGGAGGTGGAGGAGAGGAAGTGAGTGAAGCCGTACGGCAATGCCATTGCTTTCCGTCGCCGCCGCCGTCCCTGACGACGCGACGCTATCCCCCCCCTCCCCCTCTTGTGCCGCATCTGACCGGAGTCTCCTCTTTCAGTATGGCCAGCCTACTGTCCAAGTTCCGGATAGACTACGCCAGCCTGACCATGATCCAGGACATCTCCGAGCCGCCCAAGGAAGAGACGGTCGCCATGTTCAACAAGCTCCTCGACGGCTTCCGGGAGGAGGACATGAAGGAAGGAGGTAAGCGTATAGATTTTAAAATCCGAAAGTTTTCCGGAAAAAATGGGAAAAACAA